GGGGGAAGGAACATCACCCTCAAACTTAATTCCTATTACCCACCCCCCCATCAAACCCATTGCATTTTCATGGTTTATAAGCTTGATCATATGAATCTGCATAAACAAAGATCTGAAACGTGCTTGCCCGCGCGTACAGTGTCTATGTGTGACGCATAAAAACCTGATTGCGTCGTCACGCACACGTACTTTATGGGTATCTTAAACTGTAAGACATTGCCGAAAAATAATTAAAATTTCGTTTCTTAAAGGAACTGTAAGCATAATTTCAAGTGACCCTCCAGGCAAAGATGACAATTGCCCGATATACATCGGTACCCTTAAAAGCCTTGTCTTATCAAGTATGAATTAGAAATAAATGTTTGTAATTTTTAATACTTACTTTTTTCTTTCAACTGTGGTTTCTCTACAAAAGGGACTTGAGCATTTACACTGCTATTTAATTCCTTTAAACCCAAGGAAACAACATTATTTTACACATTATTGATAAAGGTTTAAAGGGTACCATTGTGAATCTGGCATTGAAAGGAATGTCACTTCAAATTACGCTTACTGTCCCTTTAACATTATTTTATTGTCAGACAAGAGAAGGAAATATGAACAAATTATTGCCTCTGATTTTTCTGGGAAATAATCATTTATTCTGACCTTCGAGTGGAAACAATGTAAAAATATCGCAAAATGTAAATTAAGAAACAAACAAAAACGTGTTTTTAACTGACCCGAAAACACACAATGCGGAGCTTAATAATGTTGAATATCTTGAATTTACACTGAACCAACCACCCTCCAATTTTCTTGTATATTTAATACAGCAACAAACTCCATCTACCTTTCTTGTCCCAAACCGAGTTTTTGCACCCCCCCTCATCCCCCTCATCCCCCCACTTATTCAGAATTAATTGCATGTATACTGAATAATATACGTATCCATGGTTTAGGTCTGAACCCTAAACATCCCGTAGACGGACATATATTTAGATAGATAGGTAGACAGATATTTAGATAGATAGGTAGACGGAAATATATTTAGATAGATAGATAGGTAGATAGATAGATACAAAGATAAAGTGTAGATGACTTTAAAAAGTATGCAATATGCATATTGTATCCCTCTACTGAAGATGAATTTTAAGTTTAATATATTATATATTAACCAAGGTCAGTAACCTCTTCAGTTCTATAACTTGTATTTAAAAGGAAAAAAATATCTTTCTTCAAAAGCTTAAAAGGACTGTAAGCGTAATTTAAAGTGACCCGACATGCAAAGATGGCAATGCCCGATTTACAACCGTACCCTTCAAACCTTAAAAAGTTCAATATTGTGGAAGATATTTTCGTTATTCCAGATTTATTTCTGATAATTCCTGTATGTCGTCCTGCAGGAGAAATGCACAAATTAATTTTGACGAAAAACCGCATTTGAAAATTGTAAACATCATGATAGTTTGCTAGGTTATAGTTGTGAATCGAGCTGTCATCTTTGCATGCAAGGTCACTTAGGATTATCTTACAGTCCCTTTAAAGGAAGCTAAAACACCGGATACCCATCTTTCTCTATTTCTAAATGTTAAATATCTGCTTAATATTGTATAATGGTAAAATGGCTATTTTTTAATAAACCTAAAGGAAGCTCCTTTATTTAACCTAAACTGACATCTAGACATGGATATTTATATTTATATTCAGCTTCAAGCAGTTTAAACCTATCCTGTCAATCATTCCTCTATCAACACAAATACTGAACAAATCTAGGTTTTTCGGCCAATTTTCTTTCTTAATTTAATTAAATTTATAGCGGTTTATTTAATCGTATTTTATGCAAGAAAAGTTTGTTCTTCATTATTTAGGGTTTCAACATTATTTTAGCCACAGATTCCCTGCACCCTTGGGCATTAAAAACATTGAAACATTAGGCAACATTGTGGTTCTCAACTCAAACATAATTTTGGTTTTAGTATTTATATTGGGGGAGGAGACTAAGAGTAAAAACTTACTAGCTAAGATTAGGTTAAACTAGCTCAGATTATGTTAAACTGGCTAGGATTAGGTTAAACCAGCAAAGAATTATGTTAAACCAGCTAGGATTAGGTTAAACCAGCTAAGATTAGATTAAACTAGCTAGGATTAGGTTAAACCAGCTAAGATTAGATTAAACTAGCTAGGATTAGGTTGAACTAGCTAGGATTAGATTGAACTAGCTAGGATTAGGTTGAACTAGCTAGGATTAGGTTAAACTAGCTAGGATTAGGTTAAACTTTCTAGGATTAGGTTAAAACCAGCTAGGATTAGGTTAAACTGGCTAGGATTAGGTTAAACTAGCTAGGATTAGGTTAAAC